GAATCTTACGGGACAAAACTGGGAAGGGGAGCGGAATTTCGATTCCCCTTGCTTCCGTTAAAAACATATCAATGGCGCATAAAAACTTTTAGTTTCTTACCAGGACTCGAAAAAGGGCGATTTTGGTGCACCGATGACCACCCCTATGCGGTGAATTACCATTTCTTTCGCGATCTATTTGAAGTAGATTGCATCCATCCACTTGATAGACGCCACAGTGCGTCAAACACGGCGCACTGTTCAATATGCCGAGTGAGTCCTATAAAAGTAAAAGCACAATACGGCTTCTAGCCTGCAATAAAAACAAAATAGACATTACTTCGTAGTTACGGGCCCTTTAAATACAATTCTACGACGCTGCTTTCTGTAAGTATTGTTTTCTCGATTCTGTTTCCCATTGTATGCTTCTGGAGAGACGGTTTCCTTCGAGATCCCTTTGTAAACGCGCAAAAGATCGATGAAAGGACTCGCTCGAAACGAAGCCGTTCGTAACGTGGCACACGCGTTAATAACTTTTTAAGATGGAAGCTTGGGCAAGTTGGTGAGAGTTCATATTAGTAGCAACCGCACTTTATAAACAAGGAGCAGAAAAGAACACACATAGAAAGACAAGAAACAAATAAATAAAGACAAACACAGCGCTGTGTTTATCTATGTGTCCTCTCATTTTGTCCTTGTTTATAAGGCGCTGTTGCTATAATACATGTGAATACTTTTTCGTAAAAGTAAACTTTAAATCAGAACAAATAATATCGTTCCAGTACAAAGGAACATTTACTTTTAGCAAAAAAAAAAAAAAGTAATGCAATTACAAAATAACAATTTTCAACGTGGCTAATTTCGTTTCCAAAGCAGGAAAGAAAGTCCAAAGAACTCAAAGAACCAGGGCGAGTAATTCTCTCAATAAGAGAGAAAGGAAGGCCTGAAACAGCGAAACTGCAGACGCAGTCGCAAGGAATATGGGCTGGATGACCTCTGTTCTAGGAGTTGTGCTTAAAAGAAATGAAAAATATTGCGCCGTATATGTTATTTCTTTTATATAACCCGCATCTCATTCGCGCTGTCGAAAGCAAGCAAAGCCGAAGGCAAAGCGACAGTCGAAAATTCAGAACCCAGATCCTCAACAGAAGTAAACAGCAGCTACGCAAAGTTGTCCAAGATGAGATAAGGGTCACGCAGAATGTAGGATCGATTCTCAAATTCTACGTGGGCCACGAGCCAAAAAAAAAAAAAAAAGAACTTAGAATAGGGATAAAAAGAAAAACAACGACACTGAATTCTTATTATTATTTGTTTTTCTTCTTCTAAAGAATGCTTCGAAGTTAGGCACCCGCGTACGCGAAAGTGCGCGACGTCGACCGGAAACACGCGCCGTGAGATTTCTTCTTGTTTTATACGCAGCGGTGTATAAAAAGGCGAATTTCACCGTCGACGTCAAAGCCACGCGAAGTTATTTTGTTTTTCTCTCGATTTGTTCCGTTTTCTTTCGCTTCGATTCTCAAAACTTAAAACCGCAAAATTTAAAAAAAAAAAAAAAACACGAAGAATTGAGAAAAGACTGGAACTCTCTCGAGTTCGCAATCTCTTTGTTTAAATTTCTTTTTTTTTTTTTTTTATTTATGGCAATGGCTGACGCTGCTTTCGTCAACGTTTTCTCATAGACCACATTCGGCATATCCATGTTTGTTTGCTTTCTTACACCTCGCTGAACGACAACGCCACCAACGACAATCTTAAGGCGAGTAAACTGGTTTGTTTGTTTCTGCAAGTTTGCAGTCGCGCAGAACGAGACGGCGCACAGAAAAAGCGCGGGGAAAGAAAAAAAAAAAAGGACACGAAAACACGAAAACAAGAACAAGAAGCAGACGGCAGAAGATCGAGGAGTTTTCGCAGATTTACCAGCAAACAACTAACCGACAAACAAACGAAGGTACACCGATTTTTTCTGTTTTTTTTTCTGCAATGAATGAACACAATGAGAAGGGCCCGCGCGGACGCAACCTGAAATCTAAAGCAGGAAAGAACAAAGGAAAAGGGAAGCCTTAATTCGAAGGAATTAGAATTTGCATCAAAGAGGCGTACCGACGCCAGATGTTCGTCTGCGTTCAGCGTGCCACCGCCATGATGGGGCTTCTGCCCCGCAATTTGCCTGTCCGCAACCACGCGCGTTCCCTCACTCCCCTCTCCCTCTTACACCTTTACAACAGCACCGTTTTTATTTATCCTTTCTTAGCCCCTCAACTTTGTAGGTACGCTCACTTGGTAAATTTTTTTTTGCTTTTTTTGCTTTTTTGGCAAATGAAGAGTTGCCCCGTGCATGCCTTTAAACGTTCTCTCTCCGGGACGCGCAGATGTTTGCGTTCGCACGCAGGCAAGCAGCGCCCGTGTATAGACTGACGTGTCTATCGCGTATTTCGTCACAAACGTGAAGATTGTCTTCGATTTCGATCTGTCGGGGATTTGCGTATGACGCAACAGCTTCTAGAAACACGGATTCGAAGCGATTGGTTCGATCAAACGATTATCCTTCGGTTTCCATACAATGACTCTGCGCGCACCTGCCTGTTGTTTCGTAAGTCAAGCTGGTTGGCCCCCTCGACAGATAAATACAAATTACTCGCTAAAAAAAAAAAAAAAAACACCGATAAATGCGCATTAAATGTAATCTCGACGGACTTACGAAAATAATAGATAAAACAATGTCTGTCTAGCATTCGGAATTTCGCCTTATTTTAAGTCTGGTAGGCATGGGTTGCAGGGACGTTAGACTAGCTTTTATTATGGTGGCCTTGCGGCTGAGTGTGCTACGCATGTATACATTGCAGAAGACATATCTCACCACCGAATTAGCAGTTTCTCGGAAAGAACAAGTCGAACTGTAGGAATTCGTAAACACCTATCAGCGAAACGTTCCCTCTCCGAGGATGTAGAGTCGCTGAAGCAACCAATCGGCTCGCTATATTCGTGCTTATGCGCTTTCGCTTCCCTCTAGGCCACGCTGTGTGTTTGTTTACATTATTTTTCACAGAGTTCACGACCTGAATTCGTGTTCATGCAGAATAAGCACCGATAAAACCCGATTTTATTAAAGGGAAGCAGAAACACTTCTTGAATGACACGAGTTAGAGGTGAATTCTGGCGTATTTTTATCTCGTGAATCTTAATATAATATTCGTTTTCTCCGGAGACATATCTAAACGCGAGAAAACGCGAAAAACCTCCGACCGGTCGTGACGTCATACTAGGATCTTTGGGCCGCCAAGCGCGTGTCGCTCGTGTGCGCGGCGCGTGCAATTGCAAGCTTGCCAGGTGCATTGCCCCGCACTGACACCAGTCGTGACGTCTCTTTCTGACCTTTTTGAAAATAGCGAGAGTGCGCGTGCATAGCTTTGATGGGCGCTGAAGATGCGCGAGAGCAGAGATTCACTCCCGGTGTGACGTCACGCTCCCGGAAGGAGGGGCTTCGGCGGTGCTTTAAAAATAATTTCTGCAGCCTCCGTGCACCAAATGTAAAACTAATCTCGATATTCATGATCCTGGAGGCCGAATGAAGGCCATTGAAGTATTTTCTCGCAAATACAGAAACGCTTCAGTTTCCCTTTAAAGTGATGAATACCGAAAATCGCAAATACTAAAAATAAGGTGTAAAAAATGGGGGATCCGGACGTTTCGGTGTTGGACGTTTCAATGTAGGGCGTTTCGAGGAGGTCTTTTCGGTGCACGGACATTTCGGTGCACGGACTTTTCGGTGTGGGACTTTTGGGTGTGCGGACTTTTCGGTGCACGGACTTTTCGTGCACCGAAAGCATTATTAAGCATCATTTCAGGCAGAAGTGATTTTCTTCTAATCTTGTAAATTTGTAGGCTCGGTCATCTATTTACGGTCACTTACTCATATACGATATAAGTGACTTTGTTAGGCGCAGCACCATCCTGCGGGAGGACTGGATACGTTGGACGTTATGTTTATTTCACCGGTGCCTCTTTTCCAACGTAACTAGCCGCATCACATAGTACTTACGCGTTGGGTCGATACAAGCGTTCTCGGCGCCTTCTCTAAAGGAGTGGGTTTTATTATTGGTAATGTGTGTAGGAAAGGCTCCAACAGCAAGAAGCTTGAGATTGTTGAAAATTACTCTCAAGACATGTGATGCGACAGTGCGTACGTTGGAAAAGAGACACCGACAAACGAAGCATAACGTCCAACGCCTCCAATCCTCACGCAGGATGGTACTGCGCCTAACAAAGTCACCTAGGTGGTATATCAGTAAGTAGCCGTAAACAAATGACCAAGTCTAAAAAACTATAAAATGAGAAAAAATAAATTTTTACCTAAATAGTGCTTATTACGTTTAAAAAAAACTAAAAAAAAAAAAAACTTGAAAAAAAAAAAAAAAACTCGTGATTTTGATGTTTTATGCACCGAAATGTCCGTGCACCGAAACGTCCGCGCACCGAAAAATCCCACACCGAAAAGTCCATGCACCGAAACGTCCTACACCGAAAAGTCCTAAACCCCCCCCCCCCCCCCCCCCAAAAAAAAAAAAAAAGACTTTTTTGTGAAGGAACGTCCCAACCACGTTAGGGTCACTCGATGACCATTCGAATGTACTACCAGCAAACGCTATCGGAACGGGATGAAACGCGAACGCCAGAACGTGTGGAGCTGCGACCAATGTCTGCTTTCTCTGATCTTTTTTTTTTTCTTTGATGCGCAGACCCATGCAGCCCGCCTTTCCACTGCACAGTTTTATCGGCTCCACATAGCGCATCATCTAGCGAAGGCCACGCAACTCTCAGCACGAATATTCCTGAGGGGCATGGTTGTTCCGGTTCCACTGTGCACATCATCTTAGCGGAAGGCGTTTTATCGGGCGATCTCTCAACAAATGGTGGCCTGTTCACTTAACGGCCGTGCCACCGAACGAAGTCGTCGCGAACCGGTCGGTTTTTATGCACGACATCCGAGAAGCACTTCATATATGGACCAGGGAACTTACCCCCGGTGTTCTCGCCTGTGGACCGTAAGGATACCGCGTCCAGTTCAGGATGCTTTCTGTCGTTGTGTCCAGGAGAACGACTGCAAAGAAACGAGAAATACCGACGTGGTTTTATAATCACATCCCATTTAGATAGTACCGGTGTCCTCCTACGAAAGGAGCAACCACTGAACACTCCGAAAAGCGTCACAATACAAAAAATGCGGCGTTCGCGTTTTGTCTGGTCGTACAAGCGCCGTCCGTAAGGTTCGAAGTGACTTCGAGATACCACGTTTTGCAGCTACGAACTTTTGAAAGTACAACTTTGACATTGGAGACGATTCAACTACGTGCAGTTTATGGTGCTGCACATTACTTACGAACCAGCGACGAAACTACTCGCGTTGCACAACACCAAACGACATTAATTTTCAATAAACCCGAGACCTACGAGCCAGACGCCAAAGTATAACCGAGAAATACAGTAACCCACCGCAAGAAGCGGGACGCGCCCGTCTTCTTGACAGTTTCAGAGACCACCCGGCAGGCGTAACAAGATAGCGCGATGAAGTGGAAACAGCAACTCCAAGTTGCTTTTTTCGTACGATCGTACGAAGTGGTTCGGTTCGCCGTGGGCGTTCGGCAAATTCAGACGGTGAACGAAACAAACAGAAAGAAGGAAAGGCGAACTCAAATTTAAATGGCGCGAGCGCGTTCTTTCGTTGCCGTCGAATTTGCTCCTCCACGGTGCCAGACCGCATTACGTGCTACGGTGTCGCACACCGCGCAGTGCGTAACACAGCGGCGGGCGGGTCCCCCCTCCGCCGCCGCCTCAGGCGTGGTTCCGCGCGGGCTGTCAAAAATACTCCGCACTCCAGTTTATCAGTCGCCGAGCGTATGCGGGTCGCGACATCGCTGCGGAAACATCATCTGCATATTTCCCTCATTTCGGCCCCAAAAACGCGAGCAGAAACTCGGCGGCTGTCTCCTCGCCCTCCCTTTCCGTGGCGGCCTGTCTTCTCTCTCCAGCCTTCATCTACCGCCTTTCTCGCGTTCCTCCGAGCAGCTTAATGATAAAACGCGTCATCGCGAAAGTGGAACGGAGAAAAGAAAGGCGGATAGAAAGACCGGGGAGGGAATGGCGCTCCTGCCTCCGTCGTCGTCAGGAAAGATTCGGTAATTTCGCAAACTCGGCCATGCAAGCTCAGCGAAAGGCACCCGTTGCGTCACTTTCGCGGGCCAGCGTCGTTTTAATGGGAAGCGTTCTTCTTCGTCTCCTCCGCGGAAAAGCGCTGCGCTGCGACGAACCAAACACTTCGCTCTACTCAGGAAGAAAACGTGCGCCGCGTTTCGACCAACGACGGAGGGCGGGGAAAAAAAGCTTTTTGACGAGATCGAACCCGCGGGCGCGTGTGAGCCAAAAAAAAAAAAAAAAAAGAAACAGGCGAGACGGATATATTCGTTCATTTTTTTCCTCGATTAAAGTGTCAATTTCGGGATATGGTGCGCTATCGCGCTTCCGGCGTGAAACTAGTTCTCTATAGACCGCGCCCTTCGTGATCTAAACTTTTTTTTTTTTTTTCGAAGAAGCCGAGAACAAATTACGAAGGTGTTTAAAAATTCTCGCAACAAAAAGTGTAACAAAGAGGAAGGTAGAATATAGGAAGGGGGGGGGGGGGGGTTGAAAACGGAGATTATATTTTCGCGCTGCCATAAATATCCTGGTACCGGGCGAATATTCATGGGCGTGGAAACGCCACTGCAAGGGCCTAACCGATGGAGAAGCGCTTTGCATGTCACGGCTCTTGCGGAAGTTGCGGCGCAGAAGCCACAGAAACCCTGGCCCCACCTCCCTTGTTACTGTTCATTTTATTTATTATATTTTATCTATAAACACCGAGGAAAGGAAGTTTGTAACTTTAGCCAACTTTAGCTTCGTAAAACCGAGGCCTAACCCTACATCAATAGGCAAAAGTTAAAAATAAAGCAGGCCCAGGATTACGTAAGGTGACCACGTCACGTGCCCCCGCGAACAAAGCGGGAGCTGAATGACAAAGTGTCAACCTCACCACTCGGCATATTTCTTTTAGCCGCTTTTTTCTTTCCCCCTTTTTGACAATCATTCAGTCAGGGTATACGCACCAAATACGCATATGTGCGAGTGTGCGGTGCTCCCGATGGCGGCACAATAAAGAGTGCGGCTCGGGTGTGCGTGCGCGGCCGATGTGCGAGCGGAGGCAGAGAAACCGCTCGCGCTTGGCGTATTGCAGGGAAGCGCTTATCAAGTATACCCTTTTGCGTACTCTCATTCATAATTTTTACAGCAAAAACTATTTCCTCGGCCGTCGTATGACGACACAAGCCAATTTCGGCTTGCGTACCAATGGAGATGTACGCGAATACAGCCAGGGAATAAGAGAAGGGCATTCTTCTCACGGAGAGGTGGACGCAAAATAATATGGCTTTTGCAATTTACGTGAAAAGCTGCGAAACGAACACAAAATACGCCCCTGCCAGCAACGCCACAAAAAGCTTCGCACAGAAAACAAGTCGAGATGGCGTTTTCCACGCAACGCATGAATACCAATAAAATTGATCAGTGCTGATTCTTGGGCGAGTTGGTGCTGAAACTTTGAGGACATGGTAGCTCTTTTTGACACGGCGTGGGCGCTGTAAATATAGCGCACCGTGTTGTCCTGTTCTCCCCTCTTGTCCGTGTTAAAAAGCGCGAGATTCCCAATAAATCGCGAGAAAAATAATAATCCAACGAACATTTCTATTCTTTATACACGCCTACAGGGGAAAAAAATCCAAACACCTACTGGCACATAAAGGTAAACAAGGAAGTCGCTCGTGTCAGCAGCTCGGTGGGGGCAACATACGGTGTAAATTAAAAAATTTACACAGCGGCGACTCCCGTCGCCGTACCTGTCTCCTGGCTCTAGACGCAGCTCAGCGTATGTTTCGTAATGTGCTACACGACAAATAAACAGACGCACTGGTTGGTAATGCAACAGCCCTAAAACTCAAGCAACAAAAGCATCGCACAAACAAAACAAAAACAAAAGAAGGACGACGTCCCATTGTTTCTAATCTCAGATTCCCCGGCCGCAGCGCGCCACGAAGAAAGCCTCTGCAGTTTATGCCTATTTAAGCTCTCTGCCGCCTGAACGACGAAAAGGAAACGTAAAGGAAAACTAAGGGCGGGAGAGATAGAAAGAGAGAGAGGAAAACAAAAAAGATTCAGAGAGAGAAATTAAGGGACGCGAGAGGAACGCACACAAACACAGACATAAACACATAGGCCGCACGCAACGCACATTGCGAATAGAAAGGGGGGAAAAATACGCGCCTAGAATAAAAAACAAAAAATATTTTCCTCTTCTAGTTTTACTTAGAGAGTTCCGCAGCTTTAGAGAAACGCCGCCCAAAGCTTTCGCGGCGCAGGAATTTATCATCCGTAAACGAGAGGTCGGTCAAAAGCGCCAGTTACTTCTTTTCTTCGCCAGCTCCCTTTTTCTTTTTTCCTTTTTGCCTCCGCGTGCGCTGCTGTTTATTTTCCACTTCGCCATCTTACCCTCCCCCCTCCTTCTCAGCTTTCTCCCTCTTGACCATTTTCTTGCTCGCCAAGTTTTATATCTGCGAACGTGAGTTGCCGCCGGCCGTCCGCTGATGCCTTGGCTTCCCGTCGTCGGCTAATGTCTGTCCCCCTCTCTCTCTCTTTCTCGCTGCCCAATAGGAGCGAGGGTACGTCGTCGTCTAATTGAAGCGCCACCTAATGTAACGCCCAAATTGGTCGGTTTCTTTCGTAGAAACAAAATTGGGAAGTGACCCAACCGCGCCGATCCATGCAGCGTGCCGTGCTCGTCGAATTCTTACGTTTGAGAGTACGCGGCCAACAGGTGAGCATTTTCTGATACACCTGCTGGAATGAGTCCGTCGAGAAAAGCGATTTGTACGAGAAGTCACGACCATCGAGCTTGGTAGCAGCGAATGAATCGGTGCGGCATCGCAGTCTTCCTAATTCTTCCCTTTTCTCAAGAAGCAGAAAATCGGCCTCGCTCAGCAGGTGGGCATCTTCGCGCTCTCGTGAACAAACACGCTCATCTTTGACTTGTACGTCGCAGCTCGAGAGCTTATTCTGAGTGTGCGAGTGGCAGTCCATGAGCAATAGCGAGGAGAGATTATGTTCTCCCGGTCCTAATCCTAACTTGCACTGGCATAACACATGTGGTACCTCTGTATAAACGACTCAGAAATAAACCCTTAAAAAAAAAAAAAAATCGAGCAACATTGGTGGTCGCCATTTCTGGGGCACGAAAAGCTCGTGACTGAACCCGAGTACTCGCCGAACGCCGACGCAGAGCTCACATTCAGTAAGTACATGCTCAGAATAAGTGCCCTGACAATGGAGGACTCAGATAAATGGCGGAGCAGCTACGGAGGGTACTTTTGAGAAGGACTCTGCGAGTCAGGAATTGCGATCAAAGTGCGGCCGCCTCTGGTTCGGAACAACATGGCTGCCATTTCCCCGCCCTCCATCATCTTCTGATTTGGCCAATCTGTGACTTTTTCACCTTCCCTAAAACGAGGGATGAGCCTCGAGGCAGAAATTCGGATCCGTCGAAGGGATTCAGAAAGAGACGAGGATTGTCCGGAACAGCCTGAGAATGTGGACTTCCTGAATGTGTTTCAACAATGGGAGGAGTCACTGGGACCGTCGTGTATGAACTTCGAGGGAGATGGCAGCCACAGCAACTTAAAGGGACACTGACAGGGTATTTATGCTCGCCGAGGTTGTTAGTTGTACGTGACATATGAGGGCTCAACTACCCAGAACAGAATTTGCGGCTCGAAATTCGGTTTCTTTCCGCCCGAAAACCGCCGATCAAGAACTGGCCGGTTCGAGTCTCGCTCACTCTCTTTTTCGCGGTCACGGGCCATTTTCTAAGGTATCGATGCGACCACCAAATTTAATCAAAGTCGTGGGTCACTGAAGGCACACACTCAATATTAAAAATAGAATAAAATATGAAACCCATTTTTTGTGGCTTCTAAAAAGCTGCAAATACGTTGATTGAAAAAAAAAGTTCCACAGACA